CACAAAATAAATAAATATTTGTAATTTCCATATGAACAGCCCCAGGACTCAGAGAGCCAAGTCACCAATCCAGCTCAGTACAATTAAACACAAGTGGGTAACATTGATTTCCTGCAATCCCTTTAAGAAGCAGGTGTGAACACAGCAAAACACAGCAGATAAAATGCACACGGTCTATACTTATTCTTGAACTTAACAGATTCTGGTTTGTCTTTAGACAAACTTTGACTTTGTACATGATTAGACTTGTTTAATTGCTAATTCTGTTTTAAATCTAAGTTAATTTCTCATTACCCTTCCATTTCTACTTCTTATGCTCTGGGGAAAAGAGCACACTTATCATTGGGACATTCTCACATCTTCCAAGGAAGTGGTGGAGGTGTTAATCTTATGTTTATGTTTGATGTGGGTGTGATGACTCCAGCTCGGGTTTATTAATATGCACGGCTATCACCTCATTAGTTGTGAGCTTTGTTTTGAAGTGGAGCTGCAATATTTGCTGCCATGTCTGATCTGCAAGAAAAGCCTTGCTCATTGTTTGCTGCCTGCTCTCTCCAGTGCTGCAGCCCTTCCATGGAAATTCCTGATTCCTGCTCTGCCCTGGGTGGCACCGCAGGGAAATCGGGAGCCAAAATTCCTCCTGAGCATCAGGAGACAGCTGAAGGACATCACCTGCAGAAATATTCACCTGCCTGCCATTCCATCCCTCTGTCCCTGCTCTGGAGAGACAGAAATTCCCATTTTCTGCAGCCCAAAAATGGGCAAAATAACACAATTCTGAATCTGGCACTCCAGGACACCACCTGAAGAAACAATTACCATGATTTCTGCCATTCCATCCCTCTCTGTCCCTGTTCTGGAGAGACAGAAAATCACATTTTCTGCAGCCCAAATATGGGCAAAATAATACAATTCTGAACCTGACATCACCTGCAGAAATATTCACCTGCCTGCCATTCCATCCCTCTGTCCCTGCATTGAAGGGACAGAAATTCACATTTTCTGTGGCCCAAAAATGGGTAAAATAACACAATTCTGAACCTGGCCCTCCAGGACATCACCTGCAGAAATAATCACCATTATTTCTGCCATTCCATCCCTCTGTCCTTGCTTTGGAGAGACAGAAATTCACATTTTCTGTAGCCCAAAAATGGGCAAAATAATACAATTCTGAACCTGGCACTCTGGGACACCACCTGCAGAAATAATCACCTGCCTGCCATTCCATCGCTCTGTCCCTGCTCTGGAGAGACAGAAATTCACATTTTCTGCAGCCCAAAAATGGGTACAATAACACAATTCTGAACCTGGCCCTCCAGGACATCACCTGCAGAAATAATCACCATTATTTCTGCCATTCCATCCCTCTGTCCCTGCTCTGAAGGGACAGAAATCCACATTTTCTGTAGCCCAAAAATGGGTAAAATAACACAATTCTGAATCTGGCCCTCCAGGACATCACCTGCAGAAATAATTACCATGATTTCTGCCATTCCATCCCTCTGTCCCTGCTCTGAAGGGACAGAAATTCACATTTTCTGCAGCCCAAATATGGGCAAAATAACACAATTCTGAATCTGGCACTCTGGGACATCACCTGCAGAAATAATCACCATTATTTCTGCCATTCCATCCCTCTGGAGAGACAGAAATTCCCATTTTCTGCAGCCCAAAAATGGGTAAAATAACACAATTCTGAACCTGGCCCTCCAGGACATCACCTGCAGAAATATTCACCTGCCTGCCATTCCATCCCTCTGTCCCTGCATTGGAGAGACAGAAATTCACATTTTCTGTAGCCCAAAAATGGGCAAAATAATACAGTTCTGAACCTGGTACTCTGGGA